TAGTTTATGAATGTTTTGTTATGTGTTTCTGTAATACCGTGGCTAGCTGCTTCTATAAAATTGAGCTCTTTGCAGCAAACGCTCTATCTCCATCGGCATGGGCATGCAGACATGAGCATCAGTGATTGGGCCCCTCGCTCGCATCCTTGTGTCTCTGGTCTTCATTTCCTTCTGCTGACTGGCTATTTCCTTCCTCGCTACCCACTTGCCCCTCAGGTTCAAACTGGTATGGCTAAACCGAAGCCGCGTTCATTGCTCGCAGCACTGTCAGCTGTGTGAACCAGATAAGTGATGCAACCATCACTACCCAGAATGCTTTGAGAAGTAAATAACAATGGCAGACTCCTGCTAAATCAATTTTATTTAAATATTACTTTAAGGGAAAACATCTGGCTTGTTTTGATGCCACATTTTTACTTAGGACAGCAATGTATATGCTTTAGTGCAAACTTGACTTCATTGTCCAACTTCCTTGTAGATTCTAGACGGAGAAGGCTAACAAGGTTAAGAGAACTGAGGTTTTCAGTGAAAGACTCTGAGTAAAAAGTTCTTGCTGTTTTTCAAATCTATTAATTACAACCAATATTGTTCTTTATGACAGAAATAAAAGAAGCCTTTTCGTCCTTTCAAGGTGAGTTTGAGTCAGATCCACACACACTTTCTGCTGGCTTCACGTCTGATGAAACACCTCCTCCCTCTGAGAGGTCTGACTTTAAAGACATCCAGGAAACAAAAGGATTCTTTTTTGTTTCAAACCTAAAATAAAAACTCAGCTTGTTCAAATAAAGACAAAAGACTGACGAGTTGAGTTTTTTTTCTTTGTACTGTGATGAATTCTGTTTTTAACTCCTTTAGAGACAGAATAAAGAGATGTAACTTCTTTTTTTTCAAGAAATTTAAATAGTAAATGTTCTACGTCAAGTATGACAGCCACAAAAAATACAATAAAAACTGAATACATTTAAAAAGCAGAGGCTGACATGTAGTTTCAGTCAAACTACAGACGTTTCTCCACTACAGCAATGCAAACCCTGGGTTTTAGATGATCTCTGTGTGTTTATGAAGCTCAGCTGTTTTAATGTGTTGACTTGACTTGAACATGTAGATATAGTGGAAAGGTTATTGAAAGAGTTCAACATACAACATTTTTAGCAATATTTATTGATGCATTTTTAATTAAAAAAACATATTGATGAATTTTTTAACAAAATTATGTAACTATGTTGGTCTGTTCTATAAAATTTGACATCACCTTTCTCTTGAAGCTCTCATGACATTGTATAAAACTCTGAACCACATTTAAATTACTGCAATATCATACGGTGTAACAGGTATCCATCTATCTTGTACCTGCCCGGCAGAAGAAAGTGATGTACGTGTTATATCATGGTCTGAGGTTAACGCTCCCTCTGATCTGCTTTTTACAGGCTCAAGCTCCTGAAGCTTACCAAGAGTAACATCTTTCACAATACATGCATGATGTATAAGATAGTTCATAGGCAAATGAAATACTCTGTCAACTCATCCCTATAACTTATATGATACATGAACATAATACTAGAAGAAAAAAATAAGCTGAAGGGAAAAAACTGTAAATGTACTAACTTCAGTATTGTATGCAAAGGCCCTGTGATTTGGAATACAATTGACAGTAAAATAGAAAATTTGTCATCCCTACACACATTTCAGAAACTTTTGAAAAAGGAACTACGACTACATTATGCTCTCACGAACTCTAAAAGGACGTTGAACTAAAATAAAACCAAATGCAAAACAAGTATGTAACATAAACCATTGTAATTGTCATTTTCAGGTGAGATATCTTGTCCAAATGATGAGTGATGATTTTACTATTGAAGTTTGGTAGCCAGGCCATGCCACATACAGTGGGGTGCAAAAGTTTGTGCAGCCTTGTTAATCTTCAGGATTTTGCTGTATAAATGGTTGTTAAGATGAACATTTTCTGTTAAATATATAATATGGGAGACTCAAACAAGGATGTTTGAGAAGTGAAACAACGTTTATAGGATTTACAGAAAGTGTCCAATAATTGTTTAAACAAAATTAGGCAGGTGCAAAAATTTGGGCACCACAAAAAAGAAATGCACTGAATATTTAGTAGATCCTGATTTTGCAGAAATAACAGCCTCTAAACACTTATTAGCTTCCAGTGGGAGTCTGGATTCTGGTTGAAGGTATTTTGGACCATTCTTCTGTACAAAACATCTCTAGTTCATTCAGGTTTGATGGCTTCTGAGCATGGACAGCTCTCTTTAATTCGCACCACAGCATTTCAATAATATACAGGTCTGAGGACAGAGATGGGCATTCCTGTGCATTCTACTTGTTTCTCTGCATGAATGCCTTAGTAGATGTTGTTGAGCAGTGTCTAGGGTCGATGTCTTGTTGAAAGATCTAGCCCCGGTGCAGCTTCAGCTTTGTCACTGATTCTTGGACATTGGTCTCCAGAATCTGCTGATATTGAGTGGAATCCATGCGTTCCTCAACTTTAACAAGATTCCCAGTCCCTGCACTGGCCCACAGCATGATGGAACCACCACCGTGTTTAACTGTAGGCAGCAGGTGTTTTTCTTGGAATGCTGTGTTCTTTTTCCTCCATGCATAATGCTCCTTGTTATGCCCAAATAACTCAGTTTTACTTTCATCAGTCCACACCACCTTATTCCAACATGAATATGTATATATGAGAATGAAGGCTTGTCCAAATGTGCTTTAACATACGTCAAGCAGCTCTGTTTGTGCTGTGGGCAGAGAAAAGGCTTCCTCTGCATCGCTCTTGCATACAGCCTCTGATGTGGAAACTGCGCGGAAGCTGAACGATGCACAACCACTCCATCTGCAGCAAGATGCTATTGTAGGTCTTTGGTGCTGCTCTGTGGGGTGACTCTGACTGTTCTCATCATTCTCTGTTTATCTGAGATTTTTCTTGGTGTGCCACTTTGAGTTGTTACTAGAACTGTACCTGTGGTCTTCCATTCCCTCAGTATGTTCCTAACTGTGGAAACAGAAGCTGAAATCTCTGAGACAGCTGTCTGTGTCCTTCCCCTAAACCATGATGGTGAAAGATTTTTGTTTTCAGGTCATGTGAGAGTTGTTCTGTGACTCATGTTGCTGCTCTTCAGAGAAGATTCAAAGAGGAGAGAAACTTACAATTGCCCCCTTAATACTCTTTCTCATAATTTGATTCACCTGTGTATGGAGGTCAAGGGTCACTGAGCTTACCAAACCAATTTTGAGTTCCAATAATTAATTCTAAAGGGTTTGGAATCAAAATATTCATATCATAATATAGGTATGTTAGTGTCCAAATTTATGCACCTGCCTAATTTTGATTAAACAATTATTGCACACTTTCTGTAAATATAAACTTTGTTTCACTTCTCAAATATCACCGTGTCTCTCCTATATGATATACTTAGCTGAAATTTTTATTGTAACAACAAACGATTTACACAGGAAAATCATGAAGATTAACAAGGCTGCCCAAACTCTCGTTCCCACTGTTTGTAAATATATAAACTGGACAAAACCAATTGTAACCCAGTGTGGGGCAGAATATATTGCTTTCTTTCAAACTGTCTCCTCAGACAACTGGACAGCGTTAGGACCAATCAGAGTAACGCCACATCGTCTGCATAAAGCAGTGATGAAGCCCTCCTGAAACAGCCATCTTCCTCTCCATACTTTGAAAAACTGTCAATGAACGTCATAAACAGAATGGAGTCGAACCCATAAGGGAATCAGCTCACCGAGAATGCAGACACAGCTCTTGCTTTAGATGTACTTTAACCAGATGGCCACCCCCCAACTCTATTAGAAAACAAAATATTGCAGAAATGCAATTTTTAATTAAATGAAAGCAACAATAATACACAGAATTCCACTAATATTTACATTTATCTCTCATGCTAGGTTAGAGGGAATAATATCCCATCAGAGAAGCAGCCTTGTAAGACAACAGATCAAAGAGAATTTGTTCATAAATGTTCCTCACACTTAGAAACTCTTAATGAAAGCTGGAACACTCCAGAGAGCATTTTGCTGTGATTAGAAGTCCGGCGTGGCCCTGAAGGGAGCTGTGTAGAGAATTAGTTCACCCTCGGTCCACCAAGGATGTGTTGTAAATACATTTAGTTCCATTCATAGCTGTGGCACGGATTTATTTCGAAATTATCTTGCTAACCACGGGCCCTTGGATGGAATTAGGCAGGAGTCCCAAAGGTAGACAAGCGAGCTGATTAAAAGTTGCCCTCCTAATTGCAGGAGCCGCGCTCATTTGCGCTGAATCCCAGATCTTTTTCCTGAGCTACATGACGGGAAGTTGTTATTCAACTCATCAAGGTCTAATTAGAAGTTAGGATTGGAAGACACTTCCAAAAATATCCACAGCTTCTTGGAATACGCTGGTAAAGGTTCTCAGTCATCCAGGTCATCATAATCCCAAAGGGTTCAAATGAAGGCAACTGGACTTCTTTGGTTTCTTGAAGAAATTTCGCTTCTCATCCGAGGAGCTTTGTGAATTCTAACTGGAATATGGGAGAGTCACGTTTATAAGCTGTAGCTGTCTTTTGTTATTTAACGAGCAGAAAATACTCTGGGTACCCCGCCTCTGAAGGGTTGTTAGCCTCTATTTAGTGCTCCAGTGGGTGATGTGAGTCGAAATGCAAATGCTGGTCTGTATGAGCTTCTTGGAATGATTGTGGAAAGTTATGGATAACCCACATCCCTCTGCCCAGCATCTGACCACTCTTAAATATATGTTTAAATGGTTTTCATTGATAACAAAATGAAAACTTAATATTTGTGACAATATTGTCATAAATGTAGTAGACCATGTCCTTCAGGCCGCGTTAACTTTTTGATATTCATGTGGCGCCATCTGCTGGTTACAGAAAGTCCTCCACACTGAGGACACCTCCAGGAGAACCTTTATGGAACACCAGAGCTTAAAACTCATATTAATGACGGATAAGAAAGCATTAATACTTTACTTAAAGTTTTATTATGGGGTGTTGTTTTAATAGGGTTAGGGCTGAATTAAGACAGATACCAACTACATCTGTTTAATTATCCTGTGTTTATGATTACATAAATAAATGTACCATTTACAAGGATTGTGACTTCTTAATCTCATTTCATCTCATTCTATCAAGGCAAGTCGAGTCTGTTGGCTCAGCCCCCACAGTAAACACACAACATTCAACACAGGGTAAATAAACATGTTAATGTAAACAAATTAAGGCAGACATTTGGGTTGTAACAGACTGAAGAGCTGAATCTGAAGTGTCAGAACTAAACAGGGAAGAGTCGAGGTTTGACATCCAAACTCTTTCCATCTAAATAAATCGGTCACAGTGAGCATAATTAATGTAATATTAATGCTTTGGTTTAATATAAAGATAAAATTACCAATGATAAAAATGTAATTATGCTGAATTATTCTTCACAAGGTGTCATCAAGTCCAGGCAACAGTGAAAGTTACTCTGACAGCTGGTCAAAACCAAACCAAACCCCAAACTTGAGTTTTTTCAACTTCTTACAAATATTTGAACAATAACAAGGAAATAAGGCAAAGTGGTAACTAGTGTGGGACTCTTAAGTTAAACAGAGATTTTATGTTTCTAGCTGATAAAATGATTGTCTTTCATGCACTCCTAATGTGCAAACGAACATGCAGTTTAAGTAGTGACGCAGCAACAGCATGCCCCGAGCCCCGGCTCACGTTTATAACCACACCCGGAAGCTTCAGCGTTATTCTCTCTGGGATAAAAACTTTTAAAACCCGGACCCGTTTTTACAGTAAGACCTTCTAGCTGAGGTACAATTTATATTAAGCTAAACAGCAGGTTAACTCCATCGGGTTTGGAATGCAGCCAACTGATGAGTTAGAGCAACAGAAACAACCTCCTGTGATAAAAGTGCATTAAATGTTCGGATGTGAAGATCAAGCTCGTGCAGATATGAACACATAAAGGTGAACGTTGTGGAACGGGCGCAGCAGAGGAGTGAAAGTTTAACTCTGATGTAAGAACAACACAGAGTGGCTCGGTGTCCTCGTGACCAACCAGAAAGAGAGCATTTGGATTGTTTTAGGAGGGGTTGTATGATGAACTTTACCAGTAGAGAGCTCACTGAAAAGCCTCAGTTTGGAGAGAAAAATTAGTTCCGATCAAAGAGTCAAGCTAACACGGAATCTGTCACAAAGTATTTTCTAATCTCAGACACTTTCTAATTGGCTTAAATAAACTTTAACCTAAAATCAGTCCTATTTATTCTGAATTTTGGATATTTTACTTAACTTGGCCTATGACCAGGCATGTTTTAGTTTTCCTTCTCCAACACGCCTGATTGTGTGATTGAGTCACCTGTTCATCAGCTCATCAGGCTCTGAAGAACCCCATTAATCACTACTGATTAAAACCAACAGCTAACCTCCAGAACCAGGGTTGGAAACTCTGAGGTTTAGCTTAGCTGTAGCCTCACCCCACCTTCCTCTGCTTATCTGGGGTCCGGGTCGCGGGGGCAGCATCCCAAGTAGGGCCTCCCAGGTATTCCTCTCCCCAGCCAAGTACGCCAGCTCCTCAGCTGGGACACCCAGGCGTTCCCTGGCCAACCTAGAGATGTATTTCCTCTAGGTGGTCCTGGGTCGACCCTGGGGCCTCCTGCCGGCAGAACATGCCCAAAGCACCTCCCTAGGGAGGCAACCAGGAGGCAGGCATCTAGGAGGCATCCTGACCAGACACCCGAACCACCTCAACTGACTCCTTTCGATCCGGAGGAGCAGCAGTTCTACTCTGAGTCCCGCCCGAATGGCCGAGCTCCTCACCCTATCTCTAAGGCTGAGCCCGGCCATCTTGCGAAGGAAACTCATTTTGGCCGCTTGTATCCGCGATCTCATTCTTTGGTCATTACCCAAAGCTCATGACCATAGGTGAGGATTGGGAAGTAGACTGACCGGTAAATCGAGAGCCTGGCTTTCTGGCTCAGCTCCTTCTTCACCACAACAGACTGGTTCAGTGTCCGCATCACTGCAGACGCTGAACCAATCCGCCTGTCGGTCTCCCGCTCCCTCCTTCCCTCACTCGTGAACAAGACCCTGAGACACTTAAACTCCTCCACTTGGGGGAGGACCTCTCTCCCGACCCGGAGTTGGCAAGCCACCCTTTTCCGGTGGGGAACCATGGTCTCAGATTTGGAGATGCTGATCCTCATCCCAGCCGCTTCACACTCCCCAGCAAGAACTAGTCCCTGATAGAACATCAGCAACGTTGAATCAGGCCCAATCATAACTCTCCACCCCAGTTAGAAGTTATCCGTTTCTACAAACTGAGGCCATTCAGGTAAAGTATCCATTAGGTCATAATGTTTCCACAGCCAGTCGATGACCTTTAACCTCTCCAGCAGCTGCTCTTTGTGGTTGGATGGAGAAAACCGAGCCCTTTGTATTTACTGTTAGTGATCTCATCCTAGCAAACACACGGTCTGGTAATAAATATTCCTAATAAACTTCTGTACACAGAGGAAGTCCTTGTGAGTTCATTCAGGCCTGTTGCGACGCCTGAGGCTCGTCAAAGGCTGCTCTGCTCCAACTTCCTCCATCATTGTTTCACTTGACTCATCCAAAGAAGCAGGGAGCTTTGAGTCATCTTCTTCTTCACTGTCTTCTTCTGCTCTGACATCCTCTTTGTCTGCTTTTCCATCAGATTCTTCTGGCCCTTGCTCGGTCATCTCTTCTCCTTCTGCCGCGGTGTCATCCTTACCATCAGAAAGCTTCTCGTACACTTCCTCAGCAGCTGGTGCTGTCTCAGCAAGGGGGTGCTGGTCCTCTGCTACCGAGGAGTCGCTGGCGCCGAGGGACTCGATGAGATCATCCAGATTACGTTCGCACGAAGCGCCTGAAAGACAAAAAGTTTGTAACAGTTTCTCGTCTAGTTTGACCTTTCAGACTTCTCTCAGGAGCCCAAAGCAGATGCAGACTGTTAGACCACATCTGGAACTCTTCTTGTTGTAGAGTAAATCTGCTCCGACACAACAACACACCGTGATTCACAAAACCTACATCAGATTTCCCACATGCTGCTGACAGACACACTTCTGTATCCAAGGTGCTTTGTTTTCCAATTCAGCAACATTCAGAAAAGTAAAATCAGATGCAAAACCACTTGAAAATGCTCGGGATGAATTCAAAAATGTGGTGGACATCTACAACAGTGTTGCACCACAAGGTGTGACTGTGGCTTTCAGCTTTAACATCTTGTTTTTTTACTCAGTCTGTCGTTTCAACGTCAAGCCAAACTCTCACTGGGCTGCAAAAGATTAATCTGCAAATGTTCAGTTGGACTCAGTCTGAATTAGTGCAACACTTAAGTCCCATCCCTGAACTAATTGCCAACTTTCCTCTGCTGTCGTGTCACGTAGGGTTGGGCATCGAATGGAACCGGGACCAACTGTTAGTTTTTCCCGGAATCGTTTAAAAGTTTTTTATTTCGATTCCTATTCCTATTTCGATCTCAGTGAAAAATAAACATGATCTGCAAATTGTGATCAACGCTTTTCAGAGCTGATCACACCAGCTGTCTTTGTGCACTGAGTACCCCCTCCCCCCACCCAGATATAAACAAAAGCGTCTGCTGAACTTTTACTCCGTAATGTAAACTTTAACTCCTGCAGCGTAGAGGAAATTTGTTAAAATTCGTCAACACGGTGGATTTAATAGAAACTTTCAGGAACAAACTCGTTTGTCTCACTGCAGAAATAAAAACACACACGGAGCGTCAGCAGTCAGCCGCAGCCGCTCACCAACACTCGTGTGTGTGTGAGTGTCAGAAGGCTGAACCGTAACCTGTAGAATAATTAAAGTCATCATGCTAGAGCAGCTTTCTCTGTGGTGGACCACACCAGCTTCTGCCACAATAAATAATTATAGTAATAATAATAAATAAATAAAATGTATTTCCTTTCTGAACTATTTCTGTTGAGTTTTAATGTTTAAAATCTGTTAGATTGTTACTGACAGCAGCTTCATTTAAGTTTCACTTTCTGTTCTGACTGAATTCTGCTGCAGCATGGAGGTTTAGGTTCTCGGTCATCCTGGACATGATCATCCTGAGAGTTTTAGCTGAAAACAGCTGGATGTTGGAGACATTTAGCCTCTCATCCCAGAGGCTTCTTCCAGACTTTGGTTGTGGTCAGAAACAAACACACTGGTTGTGCTGCAAGTCTTTTTCTTTTTTCTCCAAAACATGTTGTTGTCTAAATGAAGGGGATGTTATTGTTCATAGAATTAAAATAAATGTTGAGGTTAAGATTTTTTCATCAAGTAGGACCTGCAGTTGGCTAGCTCATTTAAAACATGGAATGTCTTGAAAGCATCGGAATCGGGAATCGATAGGAACCCGAATCGAAACGAGGAATTGGAATCGGAATCGTTCAAAATCAAACGATGCCCAACCCTACGTGTCAGCGTACACCCTTCACAGGAGAAACTTGAATAATATTGTGCAAAAGTTCATTTATTTCAGTAATTCAACTTAAAAGGTGAAAATAATATATGAGATAGAATCATTAACATGCAAAGCCACATAATTCAAGCCTTTATTTGTTATAACTGGGATGGTTACAGCTTATGAAAACCCCAAATACAAAATCTCAGACAATTAGAATATTGTGAAAAGGTTTAATATCCTAGACTCAAAGTGTCACACTCTAATGAATCCAAACACCTGCAAAGGGTTCCTGAGCCTTTAGATGGTCTCTCAGTCTAAGTAGAATTACTGACATAAATGGACTTTTGCACCATATTCTAATTTTTAGAGTTTCACTTGCATGTTGGGATGCTGCTTAAGATTAATTTAACATTTGATTATTTATTAAAAAGTTAAAAAGCAATCAGTCACCAGCCCTTAACCCTTTTACATTTACTGAAGCTTACTTTCCTCACCTATCAAACTGGAGTGAGACAGTGCAGCCAGAATGGGTCCAGCCGACCCTAAAAATGTTAATAAGCAGCAAAATGTTTACGTGTGTTTTGCCCCATCAGCCCACCTTTGACATTCAGAGGAGGACAGTCCATCCCCCTCTTCTTCATTAGGTACCGAATGGTCTGGAGTTGAGACATGATCTCATTCTTCTGCTCTTGAGCCACAGATTTCACACTGAACACAAACAAAAGAGTAAATTATTCAGTCAGACAGTTCCTTTGAAATGTTTCACAGAAAAGGTGTGATATGTGTATATGAGACTAAGATAACCCAAGTAAATACAAAATACAGTGTTTAACTCATTATTTCATAAGAAACCACCTGCCTAGCAACACAAATCAGGCTAAAAGATCTCAATAAGCAACATGTAACAATATGTCCTAAAGAAACCCAAGAACAGAAGAACCCAGAACAAGATCTAAAGCCTCACTAGGTTTAGGGAAAGGTCAGGGGTCACAAATGATGTTTCTCACCAGTTAGTGAGAGGGTCAAGCTGAGTGAGGATGGAGTTCAGCATCCTTTCCGTTTGGGCCAGCCTTTGTTCCAACTCGTTTAGCTGGTGCTCTGTGAAAAACAAACACGCTAAACAAATCCTTTTGTGTGGACTAGTACTGCTAATTAAAAACATGCAGCCAGAGAGAAAACACAGTAGGGCTGCACGATATTAGGAAAACCTGCGATATTCGATAACAGTGCTTAATATTGCGATATCGATATTACTCACGATAAATGAACAAATACTAAAGTATGCAGTGTTGATGTCGTCTGGTGTGTGACGTCTGCTCTGGGTTCAAAGCAAACAAAAACTAATGCATGAATTCCATTACAACATAACATTTTTATTGCAAAAATATGCAGCTGCACCTGCTACTGTATTAGCAGCAAAACAACAAACTGCATGCATGCAGTTTCTCAGTGACTTTAAAACATCACCTCCACCATAAAACTTTTTCTGATGCTCCAAATACAGAAAAGCATCCCTTACCAGGGTTTTTAGAATAAATAAAAATATCAGAAAATAAGTTTAAATGTTAAATAATAGTTAACATCAATTAAATGCAACAGCAAATTCTCTCATTGCTACTGAACATTTTCTCCACTTATGTGGTTATGATATAAGGCTGTTGCTGCAATTGGAAAGTGAACTGTGCTGTGCCAAACTAGGAGAATATTAAGATTTTCTGAAGGAAAGAGAAAAACAATTGTCTACCTTTCAGAAGAGGAACTGGCAAAAAAAAAACATGGAAAATATGTGAAAACGTTTGTTTTTAACCCCAAATTGAACAAGTTTACCTAGATCTTAAAAAGCATCTCAGATGATGAAACCGCAACTATGATTCTGATAACAAGCTAACAAATTGAACTAGCTCCTCTTAAGATAAGCGGCTAGCAGAGCTTCTGACTGACAGTTTATGTGCAGCAGCAAATCAACTATCCTGATTAACAAGGTTATAAAAGCTCATAAATGAAAAATCACTTTGATGTGTGGGGGAACTTTTCCAGGCCCTCTTTAGCAGGGTGGGACTGGGAGGAGAGTGCTGTAGCCTTTTAGCTGGAAGCTAACCAGAGCCTGGGGCTAACATCACCACCCGGTGGAACACTAGCAACATGGAGGTAGGTGGGTTGGTTCACCGGCACGTGTCGGAGTCAGCCCAGTTATTATCAACTGCTTAACGACACCGAGCGGACTCACGTTCACGTTTGAAAGCAGCGCTGATTCCAGAAACCTCAGCACAAAGTGCGTTCGTTGCTCTGAGCCAGCATGACGAACAAGGGAACGGCGCCGCTAACTCAGTTCGGGTGTTGCGTTCTACCCATCCTAAGGGTCTACGTAGGGGGCGGGCGTATTACGTGAACGGACCCATCTGATTGGCCACATTTCAGAAGGGCTACATTTGATTGGTCAAATAATACTTCCGCGTAAAAAACAGCTGGTTTTCAAAAAGTTGATGTACGACACGAATGGAAATGTTTGAACCAAACATTTATCGCTGTTTTTGACGTGCTTTGCGATGGGCCTATCGCACGTCCTGTTATCACGATGACGATAATTTTTCGATATATTGTGCAGCCCTAAAACACAGAAAGGCAAACAGCGATGCTCACCTGCCTCCACGGACTTTTTAGCCCCTTTTGCAATGTTGTCCTTTTGCGTCTTGTCGTCTGAAGACTTGATCTGAGGTATGGAAAAAAAAACTTTTCAGTTACCACCCAGAATTAGTGCCTGACAGCTGCAGGACGGTAGTTACCTTCAGAAACTTGTAGGCTGCAAACAGTCCCACTCCGATGGCGTAGAGCGGCATCAGCGTAAACACATAGCCCTTGTTGTTGTTGGACTTGTACTTGTCGCTCTTCAGCTCCTGCTCCATACGTTTCTTCATCTGCTGCATGTTCTCGTGGCTCTGGCTTGAGCCGGGGGGGTTTACATTGATAGGGTGGCCTCTGGCTGCACCCGGGCCGGGACCTGAACACCAAAGGAAAAAGGAACAATGAGATTCTACAATTTCAGTGCGGAAGAACCTTGGGTAAAACCACAGAGGAAAATTAAAATGATTGTATATTTATCTCTGGGGTTATTGCAGGTTTCCAGAAACACTTAGACTCATCTGACTGGACCATTTAACAATGCTTCAAATATTCCTACTTCATCCCTGCAGCTCAGGGAACTCGGGAACTTGCTGTGGTGATAAATGAAAATGAAAATGTGGTTCAAAATGATCAAATACTCTGAGGAGGCCACTGAAACCCACCAGTATTAATGGGTTTGTGTCTATGAGGGTTATTATGCAGGAAGAAGCCATTAAGAGGATCAGAAAATGAAGCCATGAAATGGAAGTGAGTGTACAGAGTACCAAAACTACAACAGGATGTGTTTACGTCACAGTGGATGGAGAGGTTTAGAGTGAGCGGGGAAAACATTCCCATTAAAACTGAAAATCTACAAGCTCAATCACAAGAGATTCATAAGAATCAGAAAAACTTTATTTAGCCCCAAGGGGCAATAAAAAAAATAATAAAATAAATAACAGCAGAGCAGCATGACATTGGACATTCGAACATTGAAGTTGGAAATCATTTTAGAGCATTCATTAAAGCAGGTACTATTCAGAAATGTGAAAATATACTTAAATTCAGCACCAGACTGCCCGGGGATGTGCCTGACTTTAAATTGGCTTGACTAAGGAGCTATATCAGCGGACGTTGATTTATAAAAAATGTCAATTATCGGTCCGATAGATCAGTCGACAGATATATTGGTCTACCCCTAGGCCGGATCAAAACTTTCTTGTCCACCCAAAAATAACACTAGTAAGAAGTCGGGATGATAAAATAATGTAAAGAATGCCTCTAACACTATAGCTACTACCTCTAATAATAAAGCTACTTTTCTACAAGCTCAACTATTGAAACTCTGCTAAACACATGAATCCAACTAAAACAACCAACTAAGCACCACAAGTTTTGGCAGCAGATCTGCTCGGTGACGGCCGGAAGGAGCGTCTTACAGATTGGTTGGTGCCCCTTTGGTGCCTTACACACAGTGTGTGATGTGAGTGGGCACTGGCTGCATATTATGCTTTGCAGACATTACGTGACACTTATGCATACAGTGGAAATGTGGGGTGACAACTCTATGAAAAGTGATTTAAATATAAAATTTGACTAATCTAATCTGGGTTGAGCCCCAAAAATGACAGAGTCTAGGATCGCCCCTGGGGGAAAGAGGAAGGAGAAATAATGTTGCTTTTGTTTTAGACCGACTTTAATGTAATTAAGAAATTCGGATATCAAAGTAGAATGAAGGACCAATCTGTTTACAAAATTATAGGAATTCATCACAAACAATAATAAAGCATGGTTTTTGTTCAGTTACATCCGTTCCTCGCGTTATGGCATAACTAAATCTCCTACCTTTCCTGTTGTAACGAGGATCGTATTTGGTTTCTTTAGCCGCTGTGCCTCCACCGACGCCGAATAATCTCGGCAGGACGACAAACGTGAAGAGCACGGCCGTGAACGCCAGAGCGACTTGTTGGGATGTTGACAAAACCATCCTCCCTGTCAGCAGCCGGGGAGCTAACAGACACCAGGCAGGCGCGAACGGGATGGATGCTGAAGCAACACGCTTAGTGACAAACTGGACTCTAGTGTAAATCTTTGGAGCTGAGTTCTAACTGTGACATTTGATACTCAATTCAGCGCTGGTGTTTGGTCCTTAACAGCTGAGGTCCACTATTAGCCCAGTAGATAGCGGTTTCCGGAAACAAAATTTCAAAATAAAAGTAATTCCACATATACTCGGTCTTTAACATGGTCCTAATTAGTAATAAAACACGCGTTTTCTGACCTTATTTTAAATATGTTGGACTGTGTATTTAGTCTTCAAACTTTAAAATGAAATGTTTTAAATTTCTATCTTTCCCATGATTCTCAAGATTCTCGATGATTACATACATTAATGAAAAATAACTAGAATGACATGAAAACAAAAATAAATTAATGTCTACAAAAATATTTTTGTTGAAGTCTACAGTAATACAGCTCCTCCAAAACAGTCAAAAATATTGGAAAAAGTTGTAAATATTGGGTTTATTTATTTGTTAAATTGACATTTTAATGTTTATTCAAGAGCATTAAACTATTTTAAATGGGATGTGAATCAGCATTCTCGGGTGCTAAAACTACGTGTGTATGTCTACATGTGTATGTATAGATGAAGTATGTGCGACCATATGGGCATGCAATGCACTTTAATGTATATATGAATGAATAGGATATGTGCAAAAACTCTGTTTGCTTTTTGAATTGTTATTATTAATATTAATTTTCTCTGTCTACTTTACAAATTGAACTCAAGTTAGCTAACCAGTTGAGCAATTACTTTGTTTAGGCTAATTTATAATGATTGTTATTTCATTGTAAAAATGTCATTTTAGTTAAAATTGGGCAGAACATAAGTTTTCTTCTTTCTGTTCCCTTTTCATTTTCTTGGTTTGAGAAACCTCATTTTATTTGTTAGTATTGTTTTTTTCTATTTTAATAATAAATGAAAAAAAAATAAAAAAAAACAGATAAATGCAATAAATACTGTTTTAGTTTAACGCAAATATTTTTTTATTATTGTGAAAGTTCAATACGCTCATTTCCGGAACTTCTGGTTTCTGTGGTTTCAACACGTGCAACTGGTGAGTCTGCCCCCTACTGACCATGAAAATCCTGTGCAACTGCTGGACTTCACCTGCACGTGTAAGGCTGGAAAAGCTTTATGCAACCACTGTGTTGCTCTTCTCTTTCAATCTGCACAATATTCGCAGTTGAAAGTCCAAGTTGTTCCCCCAATGATAAGCTGCACTGAAGGTGAACAACAGTAGCGTAAGCCGAGAGTTATGGTGAGTCCAATCATCACAATATTTTTTATGTAACTTTATATATTATATTTATTTTGACCATATTTTAATAGGGGATAAAGCCTGGCCCTGTGGAGAAGATGGTTGTCCTCTCAGCCAAACCCAAAACAAGAAAGACCACAGAGGGAGTGCAGTAAGTACTGGCTACTGATGGGGTTTCAGATAATATCACAGCATTTTATAGGGCAATAATAATTAATACAGAATGGGGGGCAATTTGTTTACTGTTTTCAAACGGCAGATTCTCATGGTAATATATCGTGATGGCTAAATGAAGCTTTCTGAATCACATGAAGCTTGTATCAAAAAAGGTTCACTACTCTGGGCTTTCTAACACAGGGCTCTAGATCAGTGTTTTTCAACCACTGTGCCACGGCACACTAGCATGCCGTGAGAGGTTTTTTGACACATGCACAGGAGCTTCAGATTCAAACACGCCATCAGTGGTAATATAGTGAGTTATAGGGCCTACCAAGTAATAAAAATGATTGGTTTCAATATTTATGTATTGATTACAATTTTTCTGTATGTGTGTTCTTAACATTCAGGAGCAAACTGTACAAAGGCCTTCATGGGGACGGGGGACCTTCCTGACTTCTCGGTTCTGCGGGTTTCTGAAGTCTACCAACCTTTCTCCGATGCTGACCGGCCTATGGTCTGCAACAAGGGAATAGGCGAAGATATCCCACTGGTGGACTCACTGCTCGGCAAGATGCAACAAGGAAGTCCACTTTCTTATCAGCAACCCTCCAAAGAGAAAGTGAAGACCCTCCATAATTCTCCACCTCCTCCACTATTGCCTCTGCAAGACTACAGACTGAAACCATCTGAATGCATGTTTGTCTGTTCCAGGAAGCAACAGCTGCACGTGAAAAGTCTTGAGGTAACCCTCGAAATGTCCCAGAGCATAGAATGTGCTACGCGAGAGCTGAGTGTGTGTGCCGATTGGCACAATGTACGGAGACCACGAGTGACTGCATCTCGATTTAGAGAGTTCTGTCATGTGGGTGAGCTCATAAATCATAACCATGTCATAAATGGTTAGCTTGTTATTCCTGACTTAAATGTCATCAACTTACATGGTTTGAAAAGGCATTTGTATTATTTTCCATGTTGTTCAATTTTTTAATGTATTAATATCTGTGTTTAAACCATTAAATAAATGTTCATATGTTTACTGTTATAAAATTCAAAGTATGTTAAAATATAGTCGATCATTTGAAATTTGTGTTTTTATTTCTGAATTCCAGGAAAATAGTATTTATCATCTTTAAATCTATTGCGGTCAATAAGAAGCACACAAAACAGAGCAAACAACAGTGTTGTTAATGGAAGGCAGGTTTATTTGCAAAATAAACAGTAAAACATCTATCATTGAACTTTATTTAACCATGGAAGGGTGTGTGTTAGCTCTTCATCAATTTTACTTAAAAACAAAATCAGCTACTTCTATTGTTGGGGAATAACTATATACATGAATTTAAAATACATATTAACCAATCAATCAATTAATCAATCAATCAATCAATACTTTATTAATCCCAGAGGGAAATTAAAAACCATAAAACAGCTGTTCAAACTTAGTAGTAACACTTTCATCTCCATTTCACTATTAAAGGTAAGAATTTTGTATTCAGTAACGAAAAGAACTGCAGATTATTTTTCCAAATACTGGCTACTTCTCCCACATACTACTAAACAGACAGTACCAATTTCAAGCTTTTACTCAAGCACCCATTTTTTGACCAGGGGTCCATATTGGTAGTTTGTGAGGAGACATGCAACAGTAAAAATTTGGTTAATACTTCCAGAAATGGAAAGAGGGATGACTGTGTCAAAAAGTTTTTCTTTAACCCTCCTGATGAGCCTTTCCACGTGGACCCTCAGACGTGCAATGGACTGGGTTCTAAGCACATCCATCTCTGACATTTGGGCTTGCTTGGACAAAAAGGCTGGGCGATGGACTTTCCCGGGCACTAGCTCATCGATCAGAAACCCTTTGTCCACCATTACATCCATCTCGGGCGTTAGGAGGGAGGAGATGCCGGAGTGACGGAAAATTTCATTGTCACTTATGGAGCCTTCAAAAAGTGCTGACACAAAATGTGAGTGCTCCATGGGGGGACATGCAAATCAACGCTTTGAATGTACAGTGCGACTTGTAAGCTGAATACACCTCGCTCTGGAGCAGAAGGGAGGAGGGTGTTTGGCACCTCATTTCAGTACCATCAAGAATGACCTGAGTATTTTTGTAAGGGACACTGAAATCTGCGGGGCAGTTTGCGTTCACTCTATCAGGTGCCATCCAGATGGAGACAGATCCAAGCAAGGTGTACAAAACGTTGGACCATGACACAAGTATTCTACTCACTGTAGCTCTGTGGATGTTACACTTGTGACAAAGTTCCCTTTGTGTATAGCCGGTTGCCAGATAACTGAGGAACAGAAACAGCTCGTCAATTGGCAACAATTTCTGGAAGAGAGAAAAAAAAACGGTCCAGTCTGCAACAAAAATATGTAATCAACACAGAACAACCAGGTAGTAATTTTGTTAAACTTGCAAATGGTCTGTTCATAGGGCTCTCGGTGGATGTGCTGGTAGAAAAGCTCTTTTGCCCTCTGGTGACCCTCACCATTCTGCCTGTTGCCTCTTCAATTAGGTTTCAAAAGGCCATCAGATGCTCATATAATGGAAATCTGCATTTAAACGGTGGATATAAATCTTATTTTTCTGGAGCGATTGCTATTTTTCAGATCAAACTTAAATGGAAACAAAGGGGTGCCATCATGAAATAATTTTAAAAACCAGTATATATATATATATATATATATATTAGCGATGAAAGACAGTCAAGCTAGTTCACGGTGAGTGTTTTTTCCACCTTAATGTGTATCTTATTGTAATATGTATGAGGTAAACAATGACTAACTTATTAAATCAAACACATACTGATTTGAGACATAAATGGATCATTGTAAGAACAATATTCATATCTAATTAATTGATTTAAGCACAGATTATTCAAACATTTGATTAAAACATCTTGTTTATTCATCACATATGATTATTTAACTTATAACTATAACATCGTGGAGTCTTCACTTATTCAGAGTGAAGAATGTTGACGTCTGGCGTTCACACAGTGAGTGCAAGAACCTTGGGTGAGAATGTTGGTTTGAATGTTTTGTCTTCATGGTATGTAAACACGCGCTGAACAGAACCTTCTGGATTTAGAAGGTCAAACAGAAAGTGGATTAAGGCTGTAGATAAAAGGTCACTATGCTATAGGTGAAAATCGACCCTTTTGGACGTTACACTGGACTGTACCCTTTCTGTCTGGACTGTACCATCACTGTCTCCTCCTCACAGCTTGGTTACATCACAAACATTAATCCTGAAGCAAATACATCTCTACTCGGTTTTAAGCATTGCCAAGAAAAATGTTCCCAAAACCAAAAGGAGAACTTATGGATCAGACAGTTCAAAGGGCATCTGTAGGATCATGGAGAGAATGTCTGCAGATGGAAGTCATTTAGCATAAAATGAGGGGGTTGCAATCTGGGACCCTATGCACCTTGGGTCGGTGTGAATGCTATGTGGCCTGTGTGTCGCCATGGATGGGCACCATGACGCCATCTTGGGCTCCGTGAGTGGCTAATGCTAATTATTTTCTAAACCAGATGCAGGCAGAGGGAGTCTTGTTAGCTTGATCCAGAGAAAAATATAGATTTTAATACAGACTCTGCCACAGCGGAAACTTTAAATGTTTATAAATATTACAGTTGATAGCTAGCTAGTCCCTCCCAAATGTCTGAGCTCCTCACCCTATCTCTAAGGCTGAGCCCGGCCACCCTAC